TGGGGGCCTCTAGCTGTCTTGGATCCCTCTTTATGGCATCTTTGGGGGCCTTCTTGGTCGCATTCGTGTCTCCGAAAGAGCATGTTCTACCTCTGCTGGCGGAAAACCGGGGGGTCACTGGGGGTTCCCAACCCGTCCCCCCCCCCCCCTCGAGAACTGGGGGGAGTCTCTACCGGTTCGAGCCCCCCTCCCCCCCCCAGTCCCCAGTCCATCATGAAAAGTGGAGTGGGTCACCACCTGTTCGAACCCCCCCCTCGAAAACCTGGGGGGGTCACTACAGGTTCGAGCCCCCCCCCCCCCCCTTCGCCGCCGGCAAACGATTCCCGCTCGTCGGGACGGACAGTGGCGGGGATACTGGGACAGTGGTGGGAACGGTGGTGGTGTGGACAGTGGTGCGGGGACAGTGAGTGGGACGGCAGTGGGACACTGGTGGGGGCGGTAGTGGCGGGGACAGTGGTGAAGGCGGTGGTGAGGACGGTGGCGGGACAGTAGTACAGTGGGGAGAGTGCCGGGGACAGTGGGGACAGTGGGACAGTGGTGGGGACAGTGGGGACAGTGGGACAGCACAGTGGGACAACGGCGGGGACAGTGGGGACAGTGGGACAGTGTTGCGGACAGTGGGACAATGGTGGGGAGTGGGGACAGTGAGACACTGGTGGGGGCACTGGTGCGGACAGTGAGGACAATGGTGGTAACAGTGGGGACCGTGGGACAGTTGTGGGGACTGTGGGACAGTGGTGGGACGGTGGTGGTGGAGACAGTGGGAATGTGGTGGGGACAGTGGGACAGTGGGGAGTGGTGGTGGGGACAGTGGTGAGGGCGGTGGCGAGGACGGTGGTGAGACAATGGGACAGAGGTGCAGTGGGGACAGTGGTGGGGACAGTGGAGACAGTGGTGGGAACAGTGGGACAGCTCAGTGGGACAGCGGCGGGGACAGTGGGACAGTGGGGACAGTGGGACAGTGGTTGGGACCGTGGGGAAAGTGGGGAGAGTGGGACCGTAGTGGGAACAGTGGTGGGGACAGTGGGGACAGAGTGACGGTGGTGGGGGCACTGGTGGGGACAGTCACAGTGGGGACGGTGGTGGGAACAGTGGGGACAGTGATGCTGGGGACAGCAGTAGGGGATATGGTGCGGACGGTGGTGGGGACCCGGGAGTCGTTTGCCGGCGGTGAGTGGGGGGGGGGCTTCGAACCGGTAGTGACACCTCCCGGTTTTCTGGAGGGGGGGGGGGAGGGGGGTCCGAACCGGTAGAGACCCCCCCCCTTTTTCCGGAGGGGGGGGCAGGGGTTCGAACTGGTAGTGACCCTTCCCGGTTTTCTGGAGGGGGGGTGGGGGTTAGGGGGGGGGGGTGCCAGGGGGAAGGGGGGGGGGTCCAGCAGGAGGAGGGGGGATTATTTTCGGAGGGGGCCCGGGTTCCGGAGGAAGCAAGCAAGCAAGCGAGCCTGGCACCTAGACGGCGCATCGGCACAAAGGAGCTGAGGCGCCCCATGCAACTCACAGCTTCGTCAGGGGCAGCGCTGCGTATACGCTGGGAGCCCACTGCTGTCTGGGCCTCCCGCGTGCACGGTTCTCGTCCCAGATTCGAGGCCTATTCGACCTGGCTTTGCGCGTGAGCTTGCGCAGTGGATGCTCCTCAGGTTCCGGAGGAAGAGGGGGGGGGGGAGGAATTTTCCATAGTAAAGCGGCGGTGGATCACGCTCTCTCGTGTCTCCACATGCGCGTGCATCCTCACCTCCATCCCGTCCTGCAGTCACTTGCGCTCAGGATGGCTCTTCAGGCACCCACCCTCTCCACCCTTGGGTACCAGCGCCTCGGAAGTGGTGGGAACGCACCGCTGGCGCTCCCGTGTTCCACTCCGCTCCAAATCGTAGCGACGCCATCTCCCATCTGAGTATGCGATATGCATCACGGCATGCCCATATGTGGCTCCGATCCGCTCCGCCTAATATTGTTTTACGAGGATGCGGTTTCGTGTCTTGTGGACCGTCTTGGGTGCCTCTTCGAGACCACATTGGATCGTATTGGGGCCCTTTTGGCCTTCTCGAGTGGAGGCGGAAAGCTACTGTCCTTTCGGGGTCACTCTTGAGGCCGTCACAAGCCATTCGTATTATGCTGTACCCATGCTTTGGCCGAAGCGTGACACGGCCGCCAGAGTCTTGCGCCCCTGGGGGGCCAAGTGTGATACTGGCGTACGCGGACCCAAGACGCGCGCCCTTTGGGGGTCCAACGGCATGCGCGCATGCTATACGTAGATACCAGGGAGACATTGCCTCCCTCAGCGCTGCTAGTCATGCAGCTTGCCCATTTGTCTTGCGCCCCTCGGCCCAGCAAAGTGGTGACACATGCAGATTCAAGCGGGATCTCGCCTCTGTCGGCGCTGCAAAACGTGGCGCAGTTGCAATCTGATCGCGCCCCGTGCGGGTCCAGGGGGGTGCCGACGTACGCAGCTTCAAACGGGACCTAGCCTCCTTGGATGCCGCCACGCGTTGCAGTGCCGC